AAGATAGATTGATGATCACATCTCATGGATCATAGATAAGGAGTTATCAAGTCTTGACATAGGTATGAATATTAGGAGTCATATTTATACTGGATTGACCCGCTATGAGAATACTACATAGAATGTTATGCAAAGTGTCATAAGTTATTCTCATGATGATAATGGTGTATACCACCCTTCAACCTGAAACCACTATGGACCCTAGATGTAGAGTCAAGTACTTTATTCCTGATCAAACGTCATCCGTAACTGGATGACTATAAAGACGGTTGATGGGTACTTCACAAAGCATGCTAAGGGACATGAGTGACCTAGATGGAATTTGCTCATCCTGCATAACAGGATAAATGTCTAAGGGCCCAATATTGAACTGGACAAGGGTGACACAGTGTATGCCTTGTGTTTAATATAGACATGAGGGCAAAAGGGTAATTATATAACACAAATATTATCACGGAAAAGGTTTGGTCAGATCACATGACATTTTCGTGACTTGGGTAACAGTGATGTGTTGCTAGATACCGCTCATTGTTTATTATATTAAATGTGTGATTTAATATAATTGTCAACGTCGCGAAAACCTACAGGGTCACACACATAAGGACGGGTTGATGAGAGATAGAATAAATAAGGAACACCGTAAGATACGGTGCACTTAAGTGTAATACGGAAAGTGGTAAGGTACCACGTGGATAAGTGATATATGGTACATCATAAGGTATGATGTCCATAAGCTTAATTGGGCTTTTAGCTTATAGCCTTAATTGGGCTTTTAGCTTGTAGCCCACACGAGTGATTCTATAAATAGATCCCTTGTGATTAAGCAATTTCACTTGATGCAATTTCGTTTTTGATTCTCTCTCTCACTCAAGGTTTCCGTTCGTGATCAGCTAGCACTGTGACCGGAAGCAATCTGTTCGTGTGGACTGAGTAGAGGCGTTGTTCTTCATCAACGCTCGTGATCACAATATCAAAGGTCTGAATCGCCACAAGAGGTAAATATTTCTATCACTGACCATGTTCATTCGTAAGGATCGCTAAAGGAAAATTTTAAATTCCGCTGCGCTTTTGATCGCAATTTTCCTTCAGTTTCTTCATATGCATTTTCCAAATTCACATACTAAAAACTACACCAAAACATGATAAATATGCAGATCCATGCCCAAAATCACCGATAATGTTACTGCTGCCATCTGATATAATTTTGATGCACCCATCAACCAAGCGGAAGAGGAAGATGATGAAGATCTTGAACTTTCTAAAGAATTAGCGAGGGATATAAAACAAAAATATGACAATATACAACCATACCAGAAATCTATTGAGACCATTAACCTTGGCACAAAAGAAGTTCCAAAAGAGATCAAGCTAGAGCAACCTTGGAGAAAAACGTCAAAGAAAGACGGATTAAGTTGTTACATGAGTATATGGATATATTTTCCTAGTCTTACAGGGATATGTCAGGATTAGATACAGACATTGTGGTGCACATACTACCTCTTAAGGAAGGATGCTCTCCGATTAGGCAGAAGCTCAGAAGAACTCGTCCAGACATGTCCAACAAGATTCAAGAAGAGGTCTTTATAAAATTTGACGCAGGGTTCTTAACGGTGGTAGATTATCCACCTTGGATAGCTAACATTGTCCCAGTACCCAAAAAGGATGGCAAAATACGCATGTGTGTGGATTACCGAGATCTGAACAAAGCAAGTCTCAAAGACGATTTCCCATTACCTCACATAGATGTTTTAGTGGACAATACAACTCAAACTTCAGTATTCTCGTTCATGGAAAGTTTCCCGCGTTGTTATATATCTTTCCCAACTGTTATTAATTGGGTTTTCCGTATTAGTGTAAGTTGCAATGTCGTTGTTAGTTATTTTAGTAATGATTGCACTGAGATGACTGACTCTTTTAAATAATTGGTTGAGCGTGCGATGTCATGTTATGAAATGTTTTATCGTATGAATATATGATACCGATCAGATGAGTTGGATGTCGTTTAAACATCCTAGATAAACTTCAGATGAGTTGGATGTCGTGTACATATCTCAATTACAAATGTGTGCTTTTGAAACTATTATGTTGAAATCCATGTTAGAGAGTAGAATATGTGTTTTTGATGTGTGTGAAACCTTATGTGATTGCATTTATAATTAAAGTATGCGATATTTCATGTGAGGGGTTTAAGGTGTTACACCTCTCAACATGAAAGTAATTAATAAATTCAAAATCTAAAATTTTTGGATAAACTAGGTTTTCCTTTTACCATGAAATCTTCCCCCGTTTTTTCATTCCAATGGTTAGATTTTTTAAAGAGGCTCTCGAAAACCAACTGAAACCTCATCCTCTCAAGTTCTCTCATTTCATGTTCACTGTTATCGATTTCGTACACCTTAACAAAACCTTTTTCCTTTGTGACCTAACATCGTTTAGAAACTCTCTCTTCTGTAGAATTCTCTACTCCCTTTAGTCTCTTATAACCCTCTCGTGTCACAATTATTTTGTGGCAAAACTGGCTTCAACCGTGTTGTCGAAGAATCCTTCACCATCAGTGTAGCTCGTTCAACCATAGTAGAATATATTTACTTGTAAGTTTGTTTGGTCTATAGTCTTGTTTTTAAATCAACATATTTTCCTTTTCTAAAGGTGTTTTTATTAATTTTCTTAGTTTATTCTTGGGATGGTTTTATTATTTTTAAGTAAGCAATATACAAAGGATGCTAAAAGGTAACTAAAAACAATTTAATTGAAATTTTGTTTAATTCTTTTATAAATTGAAAAAGGATTAATTATTGATCTTAGCTGAAAATAGTAGGTTTGTAAATTGGTTGGTGAGAAGTGGAGATCCTATGAATAATGAACTAATTGAATTCATACACCCTCACCCAATTAACCCTAGTTTAATTCAATGCAAATGTTGCCGTAAGGGAAGAATTCACGCCATTGACTTTGGTCATGTTTAGTGTAAACTTTAATGTTGTGATGTCTTTCACGCCATTAGCCATCACACTGTCAAAACCAATTTTATTCTGTGAAAATGTCATTGTTGTGTTTTACAAGTAATAGGTAGTTTTACCTAGATTTAGCCATGGATTGTTTTGCTTTGTTACTGTAAGAAAAAAGAAGTGGGAGTTATGAAAAAATAATTGCAACTTGAGGGAGAGAGAGAGAGAAATTAGTTCTTTTTATGTTAATGTGAGAAAATTGAATCCTTTAATTCCTTCTGAAGCAATAGTTACTATTAAAAATACAACTACAGAAAAAATGGGAGAGGAAAAGACAAAGGGAGTCAAATGGACACACGTGAGTTATAAAAGGAACAAAAGGTATGGCAGGACTAAAGCCTCGAAGGATTTCAACGAGAATATTACGACATGCTATTTGACCAACTTCCTGGAGGATGTCAAGATGGTTGAGATCAAGAGAAAGCTTTCGAGGGGAAACCGTTTGGATTTGCAAGATTTGCAGGGGGAAAAATGAAAGAAAACTAGAAGAACAAATATGGAACATTTGGTTCGGAACATACAAAGTATGGGAAAATATATTTAGATTCCAAATGGAAAAATATGGCATAATAGGTAGGAGTGTCAACATGGAAGTCATTGAAACACGGAGGAAGCAAGACTTGTGAGAACGACACACAAATAAGACATTAATAACAGAGAAGGCAATAAGGAACAAAGTAGTGGCAGTCTGCATAACAATAATACAACCTACCCTGAGGTAGTGAAGGTGGATCAGGCGAGAGGAGATACTCCACATAGACGGTGGGAGTATACAGAGGAAGCATGGAAGGGATTGAACTATGTTGTAGATGATGAAGATATTAAGTGCGCCGAAAAAGGATACGTCGGGGAAGTCCAAAATATTGATAAAGTACCCCTCTTACAGCAAAAAATAATGGATGTGGGGATTATGTCGATTGAGATCATCCTAATGGGGAAACAAAGTTTTCATACCGGTACACGAGGATGAGAATTTTGATTCACTGGTGAAGGACGCTAGTGAATTTTTCCAACATTGGTTTATCAACTTCAATAAATGGTATCCAGCGGCGGTGATGAATGGGAGAGAGATGTGGGTCAGATTATATGGGGTCCCAATACATGCTTGGAATAAAAAAATTCGAAAAAATTATCCTGAGTAGAGGTAAACTCCTTCCAATAGACTCTGCTATAGAAAGTAAGAAGAGACTAGACGTGGCCAGATGTTTATTGAGAACAACGTCCAAGGAAACTATTAAAAAGGTTGTCCAAGAGAAGATTGATAAGAATCTTTATAACATAAAATGGAGGGAGAAGCTTTCATGTGTCCATTGGAGTTTCATTCTTTGCAAAAACCTAGGTTTGATCGAATGCAAATGTCTTAATTTGAAGAGTCAGTAGTTGAGGACGATGAAGGCTCCATGAGACTTGAGAGAGATAGAAGAAGAGGTGGAGGTTCTGGAACAAAGGTATGAAGCATTAGTGAGTAATTATGAAAAGGCAGAGGAAGGAATAAACAATGTATCGTGCAACAAAGTAGATACGAATATAGATATAGTTGTCATAGAGGCGATGGAAAATGACATAGCTACGTTAATTAATGATAGAGTGGGTCCCAAAGTTTTTTTTTGAGAATCTGAAGTAGCAGGCTGGACTCAACCAAACAGATACTTTTGGACCTCAATCTCAACTATTGGCCCAAATGGAACTAGCTAGGTGTAATAGTCAATAGGGCTGTAGTGCTACCGAGGAGGTTCCGGAACCGCATTGCAAGGATTATGAAGGTGTGAAAAAAATTCTCAGGAGGAAAAATCTCAATCCTCATGGGGTAGAATCGATGACCATGGAAAATAAAAACGGGAGAAGAGAGATTGAAAAACCTAAAGAGACAGAGGAAGTAGAAGATGGGAAGGTCGGGGTTTTAAAGCCAAAACGACGAAAGATCAAAAGGGGCAGCAAAATTTCTGAAAAATAAAAAATACTAGATAGCAGGAAAACATAGGGGATGGAAATATGGGAGGGGAACTGAGTAAGGATCAAGTGGCACTGCAAAATGTTATAGGTTCTAAGGAAATTAGGAAAAGAAGAAAGGCAATTCTGGGCGAAAAGAGGCTAGCAAGGATTAAAAAGAAATCAAAGAAGAAGGATCGAAAATTCAACAAGGTAAAAGCTTCCGACAAACTTTTACCTATTAGAGGGTCTGAATTGAAGGCATGGGTTGCTGTGGATGGAGAGGCAAAACAAATGGCAAAAGGGGTTTGGCATTTTGGGTCGGAAATTAGAATCCATAGGTCAGGAGATGTAGAAGAAGTAGTGGAAAAGCTTGAAACCAATTAAAAGAGGGATAAGAAAGTTGTGAAGAAGGCTTCTAGAAAGGATGGTGGAAGCTCAGACTGAAGTTTTGTTGTTAGGCGATGGAATAAAGTAGGAGTGGTGTTATCAATATGAAGATAATAAGTTACAATATTAAAGGTTTGGGGGATGCTGTTAAAAAGAAGGAAGTTGCTCAGATTATAGTAAGATATCGCCCGAACGTAATTGGCATCCAAGAAGCCAAAATGAAGGAGATAGAATCACATCATTGTGAAGCCATGTGGGGTAATGCATTATTTGGGGTCTGTATTAAGGCAAATGTGGGAAGATTGGGGGGAATGATACTGTTGTGGGATTCTAAGGTTATAAAGAAACGGGCGGAATTTTGCGGAGACAATTATATTGGGATTCAAGGTTTGTGGGGTCAGGAAGAATTGTAGGTAAACATTGTCAATGTCTATGCTCCTTGTGAGGCTATTAATAAAAAGGGGTTGTGGTCAGAGTTATTGACGTTGGAAAAGTCAAACCTGGAGTCTAGGTGGTGCGTTTTGGGTGACTTTAACGCGATTAAATCTGAAACAGAACAAAAGGGTGCAAATGCATCTTACAGGAGAGCTGAAATGGAAGATTTTGAGGATTTTTTAACTGAAGCTGATTTGGTAGACCTACCATTAAAAGGGAGGAGGTTTACATGGTCAAACTTGAGTGGGTCATCGATGAGTAGAATTGATAGGATGTTGTTGTCGGAGCGATGGTTCCATCATTGGCCGGAGTGTTATCAAAGGTGTCTGGAGAAAGGATTATCTGATCATTACCCTATAATGCTTTTTGATAAAGTTGAGAATTGGGGCCCGAAATCATCTCGTATATTTGACATTTGGAGAGAGTTAGAAGGATATCGTAAGGTTGTCGAAGATTCTTGGAATTCTATGGATGTGCAAGGATGGGAGGATATGTTCTTAAAGAAAAGCTTAAGAAGATTAAAGGGACTCTTAAAGTTTGGAGTAAAGGTCACTCGGAGAATCTTGATCAGAAAATAGAAAGCGCAAAAAAGACTCTAAATATGTCGGAACGCAAAGAAGAAGGTGTCAGTGTGTCTATAGAGGAGTTTTTTCATTTTCAAGAATGAAAACAAGCATTTTAAGGCAGAAATCGCGTTTAAGATGGCTTAGAGAGGGAGATGCAAACTCCAAATTCTTTCACTGGTGTGTGGAAAATAGAAGAAAACGTAACGAGATTGTGTATTTGGAAACTGCAAGCTCAAAATTGACAGGGGTACAAGAGATTAAACAAGAGGTTTACAATCACTTCTCAAAAGTATTCCAAAGTAGTAAGATGACGAGACCAATTATGGGAGACTTTGAGTTCAAGAAAATTGGGGTGGAGAATAACGAATTTTTGACTGGGAAACTGGCCAAAGGAATTAATAGCTCGTTCTTAACGTTAATTCCAAAGGTGGAGAATCTAGTGAAACTCACAAATTTCAGACCAATATCCCTTATCAGATGTTTGTACAAGGTGTTATCGAAAATTCTTGCAAACAGGTTGAAGTGGGTAGTTCATAAAGTGATTTCAGAAAATCAGTTCACTTTTTTGGATTGTCGACAAATTGGAGATTGCATTTTAGTTGATAATGAATTAGAAGATGATGCAAAAAGAAGGAAACAGGAAGCATTGGTGTTCAAAGTAGATTTTGAAAAAGCGTACGATTCAGTTGATTGGAATTTCTTCGACTTTATGATGGAGAGAATGGGCTTCAATGGAAAGTGGAGAAGGTGGATTATTGTATGTGTGCAATCCGCATTTGTTTTGGTTTTGGTTAACGAAAGTCTAACTGACAAATTTTTGATGGGAAGAGGTTTAAGGCAAGGGATCCTCTTTCTCTGTTCCTTTTTCTCCTAGCAGCGGAAGGCCTTAGTCTTTTGATGGATAAAGGCGTTAAGAGAAATATTTTCGATGGCTACGAGTTTGGTAATGGTGAGGTCCAAGTTTCCCACATTCAGTATATTGACGTCACTTTTATTACAGGTAAAAGAAGTTGGAAAAATGTGTGGGCAACCAAAGCAACTTTGCTGCTGTTCAAACTAGTGTCGGGATTGAAAGTGAACTTCTAGTATATTGACGACTATCTAGAAAATTTGGAAGAGAAGGAATGAGAAGATTTTCAGAAATCCAGAAGAGAACATCATAATAGATATTTTCGACATACAGGCTATGTCGTGGAGATGGCTAAAATCGAAGATAAAGGGATTCTGCTACGATCTCAATCTTTGGATGTCGAATCCAAAAGTGTGCATTGGCTGGAGGGTGTAGCGTTTGTTCAGTTTTCATCGGTTCGCGCCGTGACCTTTGCCTTTTGTAAGTTATTTGGTGGAGCCGGATGCGGTCTGTGTTGAGTAGTTTCTGATTATATTCACCGGTTGTGTTAGGGAGATGTATGCTTTGAGCAGTTTGATTCATGATTATGTTGTGTTTAGGATTTGTAGTTTCGAGTCTTCTGTTTAGGGGTTGCGGTTGTAGTTTTTTCCTATCATGGCAATAATTGTTTATCTGTACTGATATAGTTGTAATTTGGGTGGCATTTCTTATGTTGTGATTAATAAATTTGGCCTTTCAAAAAAATGTTTTTCTTGTGGCCCCTATTCTTTGTTTGACTAAGTCAAAATTGGTTGTAATCAATTCATTTGATTCTCACTATTTTTCTTTTCACGTGAAGTTACAGATAGGGAGGAGGATCACATTTCCTTGACTATACATTTATTCCATTTTTTTTATTCTCGTCAATTTTGACATGTTCACTATTTGACCCCACTTTCATACATTTTAGACTTTTATTAATTAATTTTTTTAGAGATTATAGGAACAAAGAGGCGGACCCATTCTTATTAGTGTTTTGATTTATTTTTATTTTATTTTATATTCTTATTTTTTGTTTTATTTTTTATATTTTAATTGTTAATGAGATTTGAATGTTGGATTTTTTTATCTTTTATATTTAGGCTCAATTTCTAAATGTTATGTACATATTTTTCTAGATTTTCTATACCTCTTGTGTTTCAATTTCTTACTTAGTTTAGAATTTTTAATTTATGTAATTTATTTAATTTAGTTTTATAATAAATACTAAAATACAAAAAATAAGCTCTTTTTCATTCAATTCAAAAATAACAAAAAGAAATCATCTTGTAAATAAACTAACATAAATTACTAATTACTAACTTAAAAACTAACTCTTTTCTTATTTTACCTTTTTGTAAATATCATTTTCTTTGTAAATAAAAGTGTTCTGGACTGGGCCCGACAGGCCCAAAAGCATTACTAAGGCCCAATCCAAATAGACTTGCTGAGGATCATGCCGACCAAAGGGTCACAGTCGTGCCCGACGTGCTCTCTGAGGTCGCGTGCTCGACCTCTACACCTCCAGCTCGACATCCTGTTGTCCAGCTCGACATCACCTCGAGCACCCCAACTAGGGCAGACTCGGTCCACTACACTCCCAACGAGGTCCCGGAAAGACCGCGTCTCCGTCCGCCCGCACTTCACGCAGAACATCCAGGAAGGGGACCACGCGCGGGTCCCCACTACGCACGTAGAACTTGGCAGTTCCTCCATTGGGCCAAACCTGCCCGGCCCAATGAAGGAACCTTGGCCCAGCGCTGGGGGCTATAAATACCCTTTGTTTCCAGAGGGTCAGGTATTCATCATTCTACCCATACACTTAATTATTGCCTGCTCGTACTTCTACTTACTTCAGCATCGGAGTGCCTTGCAGGTGCCCCCCCCCCCCCCCCCCCCCACCTCGTTCAAAAAGCTTTCAGCATCGGAGTGCCTTGCAGGTACCCCCCCCCCCCCACCTCGTTCAAAAAGCTTTCAGCTCGGAGCCAGCCGTGGCGGTCCATTTCTGATCAGGTCAGATCAGTGGCGCCGTCTGTGGGAATCTAGCTTCCCCGTCTTACAAATAACTTAAAAGACCAAAGCTCAAAATCCAACTACCTGTCATGGATGATCCAGCTCGCGTTGAGCAGAACGTCCGTGTCGCCGACACCAATAACGGCACGGCGGATAAAAACGGACACCTCGATAACCCCGGCAACCCCGGCCATAGTACCATTCCTGTGACGACCGCCCCTGGAACTTCCTCCTGCAGGGACGGGGCTACTGCATCATCCTCCCCGCTCCCACCACCACTTGAAGACGACCCGGCGGCCCTCGCTCATTACAGAGCTGCCCGGTTCCATGAAGTCCCAGTTCCCGCCGGGGCAGATGCCACGACTCAGGCACTGTTCGCGGCCATTAATCAGACAAACTATCTCATCTTCGCCCAAGGAGAAAGACTAAGGGCGCTTGAAGATGACCGAAGACCCCCGAGGAGGCATCGGAGGCCACATTCTCCACCTCCTCGGGTCACAGAAGTTTGACACCCTTCTCCCCCGCGGAGACACTACAGGGAGAACTCCAGAAGCCCCTCTCCCCGGCCGAAGCAGAGGCGCCCCTACTTGGAGAGACAACCCGTCATCCCTGCCGGAGAGCCCAGTCGCGACCCGGCAAGGCACGACAAGAGACACGCCGGGGACGGGCGTGTAACATTCAACCACCGAGCATCACGCTCGAGGGAGACTCAGCACGACCACTGTGCCAGACAGTACTACAGGTCCCCATCTCTGTCTCCGGAGAGGAGCGACGAGGACGACCCCTGCGGTCCCCTGTCGTAGGCCATCATGGATGCACCCATCCCCCCGGGCATGGAGAAGCCCCCACATCTGAAGGAGTATGACGGAGTTGCGGACCCGGTCGACCACATTGACGGGTTCGAGGCCATGCTCCATTATCATAATGTCGGGGGGCCCATTAAGTGCCGTCTTTTCCCCACGACTCTCAGGAAGGCGGCCATGGACTGGTATAAAGGACTCGCCCCGGGCTCAATCACGTCGTGGCGGAACCTGAAGAACCAGTTCATCAGTTCCTTCACAGCTTCTCGGCGCCATCCAAAGACCGAGGCAGCCCTCGAGGCCATCATCCAAAGACAGGATGAAACCTTGAGGGAGTTCATCAACCACTTCAACCGAGAAGCAATACAGGTCCCCTGCGCGGACCATATGAAAAGATACTTGCTGGAGAGGGGTCTCCTCCCCGGCACAGAATTCAAAAAGGCTGTGGGTATCGAGCCACCTTCGACATTTGATGCCCTCCTCGATAAGGCCCGAGCATATATGGACTACGAGGAGAGGGAAGCTGCCAACAGGGCCCGAGACTCCAGGGCTCGAGGTCCCAACAACAGCAGCAGTTCACGGCAAGAGGCTCCTCCCCGACGTACCGGGGAGAAAAGGAAAGAAGATTGACCCCGGGAAGTCCGGGAACAAAGGGGCCCCTCGGGCCGTTTCACCGAGTACACTCCGCTCACAGCTTCCCGCGAGCGTATTTTGGCGGAGTGTGCCAGTACAAACTTCAAGGACGGCGGCGTCAAGCGTCCCCGACCTGCTCCCGCCAAGCCAGGGGCGGATAAAAATAAATATTGTCAATACCATAGGAGTCATGGTCATTTGACAGAGGACTGCATCCACCTCAAGGACGCCATTGAAACCCTCATCAAGGGAGGGAGGCTCACGCAGTACAGGCGAAACGACGCTCCTCGTCGTGACGCCCATGAAGCCAAGGAGCCAGAAGAAGACGCCCGACCATCAGACGAGTCGGTGCCTATCCAGACCGCCTTCTCGGTAACCAGGCCCGAGGATTTCGACATTCCCGAGCACCTGCAGGAGCCGCTGACAACGCACAGAAGGTGGGAATACTTTCCCTCCGCCATGGTCATCAACGGGGGCGGGTTCAACGACCTCACCATCAATTCAGCTAAGAGGAAGTTGGACGAGCTGGTCGACGCGGCTCCCCCGCAAACAGTAACGTTCAAAAGGGTGAAGGGCAGGTCAGAGCCCATCACCTTCTATCTAGAAGAACTCCCCGGCGGAGCCCCGAACGCGGTCATCCCCTTACTGATAAGGGCAAGAATGGCCAATTTTGACGTGCATCGCATCCTGGTCGACGA